CAAAAGGTCTGAAGCAGTCCATCCCACAGCACGTAAAAGGTGGAGATGGTTCTAGCCAATCTTAAGGCAAATCTGCCATTCTCTGAATATTGGCTTTTCCTTCAATGAACATGTTTGTGTATAAATGAAGCTACTGCTGAACTGCAATTCAGGATCCAAAAACCATTTGATCGAATTTCATTTATTGTCAAACCACGACCTTGGTGGGCTACTCTTTCATGACCTCACTTTATGATTAATGTGGTAACCTGGCTCTTATGATTGGATGCTTAAGAGTGTCTGCCACTTAGTCTACCACCAACTCTGAGTATATGTGTATTGTCTATGTAAGGATCCAAGGGGTATAAACGACTAACCTTTTTTACTGATTTTTTTTTATTTTTCACACAACATAAAATTATACAGTAACAAAAGCATACATACACAAACAAAAACTGAAAAGTAAACAACAGAGATGTGGGCTAATGTGGTGTTTTCTATTTTGTACCCTTCAAAGCCAGCTGTCATGTTTTGTTTGTACTATTCCAATAGCCAAAAAGAAATTATTTACAATTACAAAATAATATGTTCATGGTCTTTTATGTATGCCTTGAAACCAAAGAATGATAACATTTTCGCTTCTCCCCTACATTTGTATATGTATTTTTTAAACAATAAAATAAAATGATTCAACATAATATTTTTCACCTCATAGATGCCAAGTATAATATTTTGTACATTACAATCTGTATTTGAAATTAAATTACAATTTTGCTGCAATTTTTCCCACAATGACTGTACACAGTGGCATTCCACAAACAGGTGCTCTATGGTTTCAATTTCTGTATGACACATAACACAGAGAGGGGAGACTACTAACTTCCATTCAAAAAGTTTTGAAAACGTTGGAATATATCTATGAATAATTTTAAACTGAAAAGCTTTAAGATCTGTTGAAATTGTAGTGGTGTAAGGTAGACTGAAATCTTTTTTAAATAATTACTGGAGATACATTATACAGTTCCTCCAACCTAGATTTAATTGTTGGAGGTTCTATTATATTATTACACATATGCTTATATACTAATTTACTTGTTAATGAATTTATATGTATATATGATGAATTAAAATAAATTACATTTTCTGGTTCAAGCCACTTGTTATGGTTTGGGCTTTCAGAAACGAATCAATTTCAATCATCTTTAGTCCACCCTTTTCAATGTAAGCAATTATTGTATTACGTTTTACTTTGTCTTTACCGTTGCATATAACATTAAACATTATTTGTTTTTATTCCTTAATAACTGTCTTTGGGGTTTGAACCATTGTTGCTACATACACAAACTGTGATATTCCAAACGTTTTCAAAATTTGTATTCTCCTGATGATAGACAGCGCCCTCTGGGACCATAATCCACAGATTTGTTTTAGTCGTTTTAATTTACTCTTAAAGTTTTCTTCAATAAATTTCTTGACATCATATGTTAGATAAATTCCCAAAATTTTGATTCCATCAGTCCAGATTAATTTTGTGAGGGGTTTATGACTATAACCCATGAGCAGGGCTTCTGTCTTATCCTCGTTCAGTCTTAGACCCGAGCATAATCCATAGTTATTAATAATACAAAATAAAATTTCCATTGACTTTTTATTGGTAAAACAGGTGATATCATCTGCATACATTGCTAACTTGATATGTTTTTTTTTTTTTAAATCATAACCAACTACTTGTAGGTTTCTACGGATATTGATTGCAAGCAGTTCTATAACAACTACAAAAAGGTACAGGGATAGAGGGTTCCCTTGGTGCAACCCCCTATCGACCGGAAAATAACCAGTATAGTACCCATGGTTCATAACACAGGAGGAGATATTTTATGAAATGTTTTAACCCACTTAATAAATGAGTCCCTGAAATTAAAAGCCTTTAATGCTTCCACAATAAATCCTTTGCCTATAGAATCAAATGCTTTATGAAAATCCAGCGATAACAAAATTCCAGGTCTGTTGTATTGCTTTGAATACCACATGACATCCAATACTGTTTGCACAGCATCCCCAATAAACCTATTTTTTACAAAGGCACATTGATCTGAATGGATAATTGTTGGTCGAACTTTTATAATACGCTTTGCCAGAGCTTTTGATGCAATTTTAACATCCACATTAATAAGAGTTATTGGCCTGTAATTTTGGAGTAATGTTTTATCTTTTCCTGTTTTCGCAATTAAAGTAATGACACATTGTTTTTGTGTGGCTGTTAGCTCCCCCTATAAGAATGATTTATTTAAGCTCCTAACCACATAGTTCCCAATAATATATATCAAAAAGTTTTGTATAACTCTGAGGAGAGACCATCATTGCCGGGTGTTTTGTTATTTGGCAATGACTGCAAGGCCATATAACATTCATTTAAAGTTAAGTTACCATTACACAACATTTTATCATTCTCACTGCGTTTTGGTATGTCACAGTTACTTAAAAAATCATTTGCTTTTTCATCTAGTAAATTGACCCTTTTCGCGGAATATAATTTTGAATAAAATTGTTTAATTTGCCTATTTATGTCTAGTAGATCAGTTGTATCTGTGTTTTCCATAGATAAACGCTTTACTGTTGTTTTTGCTTTATTACTTTTTTCTAACCCCAGAAAAAAAATTTTGCTTTTTTTTTCCTTGTTCGTACCACAGACATCTAGAACGGATTATCGACCCACGGGCTTTTTCATCCCAAATTTTATCAACTTGTTCCTTTAACTGCACGTAATAATCCATAGTATTACTGTTTAAATTTTGTTCAGTATCCTTGATTTCGACCTCAAGTTTTGAAAGTATATTTTGATTTTCTTTGGCCTTTATCTTTGAAAACATTTTTGTAAACAATCTAATTTTGTATTTTATTAATTCCCAGATTAACCTCTCGTCAGTGTCAGCAAACTCATTACCCCATTGGTTAATGTTGTTAGTTAACTGGCTCACATACTCCCTGTCGTTACATAAACTATTATTGTATTTCCAGTAAGATTTACCGTGTCTCACCCTGCTGCGGGATTGAAATGAAATATTAGTTACTGAGTAGTCACTACAGATAGATGGGTCAATGGTCCTGGAGAACGTTCGAAATGTACCAATAATCTAAACGGCTTTGTATGATAGGAGATTTCTGGCGCCATGTATATTGTTTTGCGGTTCTATTTTTTACTCTCCATATATCTATTAAATTTAAGGCATCCAAACGTTCAGTAATATTTCGTGTAAGTGTAACATTTTTCCTCGGGTTTCCGCCCTGACGATCTATTGCTGGTTGCGTACAAATATTGAAATCCCCCCCCCATTATCACATATGTTTCACCATTTGGGTTGCACTTCTCCAATTTTTTGAAAACATAATAAAAAAAAGATCTAGATTATTTGCATAGTTTGGGGCATAGATATTGCAAATTAATATTTGTAAATCTTGAAAGGTTATATTCAAGCACAAAAATCTGCCTTCTTCATCTGACAGTATATTATTCTACTTGAAATCAAAATTATTTTTAAACATAATACACACTCCTTTACTGTGTGATGACCATGGGATATACATTTTGCCGTTCCATTGTTTGATACCCGTTCCTCCATATC